TATCGCGACTTATTTACAATCGCCTAACTTTCGGAGTGAATAGGACTTTATTATTTTTCAGTGGTTCATGTCTCGCCCAAACGATCAGCGTGAGCCACAATCGGAATCTACGGATTTATTTGCCGAGCCATCTTCACAAGGTTCCGGTATGAGATCTGAGCAAGCTAGTGGTGTAATGTCTCCAAGATCAGGTGAATTTTTTTTCGATTTTCGTATTTTCAAGTTCGTATTGCAGGGTCATCGGCTTATGCTCTTCATTAGGGGTCAGAAAGGNGCATTCCCTAGTCAGTTGACCAAGGCCTCGATTGTTTATCCTGCTGCGGACGAAGCGGAAGTATGATTGGGGACGATGCCAATCGATTGTATGGGGAAATGACCAGAACATTGGATCAGCTGAAGGAAGATTTAAAGTACGGGAAATAGGAAGTTTTGATCAACATTCGACTAAATTTAAGGAAGCTCAAGAAAACTTGGATAAATAGAGGAATTACGGTAGAAGCAACCAGTAACTTTCTCAAAGGATTCAAAGTCGGGACCATGTATTCCAATCGGAGCTGTGGACGAGAAACGCCTGTGGTCGTGGCCGAAGGTCCTACAACAACAACTACCGTATCCTAAAAAATATTTATTTTCCGTATTTATTTTCTCGCTTTTTACTGCATCCGTTTTTTGATATTTTTACCCGCACAAGTCGGAAAATAAACAGTTTTCAGACATTTCTCTTCCAGCTCCGATTTTTCTGTACTAGAATAATAATGCAAAGAAACTATTTTATTAATCACAATTTTGAATGAAGTAAATATCTGTTCAGATTTGTCAGTCTCTATAAACTTTGAGTTCCTAATTTGATTCTCTAAACCACCAAAGCTATTTTATTTTCCCCTTTTCACCAAAGCAAAACTTCAGGACCATAAAGCACATGCAAATTCAATTTTCAACTCTCTTCACTGCTTCTTTTCATAATCTCTTCTCCGCCATAACTCGTATGTCTGCATATTCTTTTCCATATGTGTCTTATCCATTTTCTAGCTGTGATCGCAATGACTTTCGCTCAGTTTTCTGATAAGGTCCCCAAATGCACAAAACCCAGATTAACACCCGCAGCAATTTTAGATGTTATCATGGCGAACTATTCGAGGTTTCTTCTAAAATCTATTCTCATGTTCTTCGTTTCTCTAGATCTCTTCCAGGTAATCCAGTTGGTGTTCAAGTGGAAGTAACTGTTCAAGATGTCATGGAATTGAGTGTTCTCAGTAACAGTTTCACTGCAGACATCTGGTTTAGCTCGATCTGGTATGATCCACGTCTCGCATACTCACATCTTGATGATTGCCGACAAAACTTATCTTTTGATGATCGTTTCGAAAAGGTTCAATAGCTTTGAAATAACGTTTTAAAGTAGAAATTTTTAGTTGATTTGGTCACCAAATGTTTGCATTGTTAACACAAAATCTGCCCATGTTCACAAATCTCCGAAACCCAATGTGCTTTTGATGCTTCTACCAAATGGAACTATTTGGCTCAATTACAGAGTAAGTACCTAACTTTGTATGATGGTAAGTTCAAAGTTCCAGATCCGTGTCCAGTCTCCGTGCTCTATGAATTTGGAGCGATTCCCCATAGACACCCAATATTGTCATCTTGTTTTCGAAAGTTATTCGTACAACACAGCAAGTGTCTCCGTCAATTGGATGGATAATCCAGTTACAGTACTCCCTGAAATTTCTCTCGCCGATTTCGATTTGTCGAGATATCGTACATCAAGGCATACAGAGGTAAATTTACATTGTTTTTTTCAGAGCTGAAACTAAAAGTTCTAGGTTTACAAAGCTGGAGAATGGTATCGATTGACAGTGGAGTTGGAGTTCACAAGAAAGTATGGATTTTACATTCTGCAGGTTACAGACATTTTGAAACGACATGAGAACTGATCAAAAGGTTTTCAGCTTTATGTCCCTACCTACATCAGTTTGTTCATTTCTTGGATTGCGTTTTGTATAGACACAAAAGCTCTACCAGCACGCATTGTATTGGGTGTAAATTCATTAATGTCCTTGACGTTTCAGGTGAGAAAATATACCTGTAATAGAAGGGCACCCTAACTTTTAACTTTGAGCCAACTTATCTCGGTTCTTGTCAACGATATAAAAAATTTGTAAACTGATAAATTGTTTATCACGATATCAGAAGTATTTTATCAGTGGAGACACTTTTGATACCTTGCATAGGAGCCAAGAAAAATTAGCTCAAACATGACAGATTGGTGAGCCTTCTGTTACATGTTTTACGGTAGCTATAAACTTTCAAATTCATCCTTTCAGTTTGGTAATATAATTCGTTCTCTTCCACCTGTTTCATATGTAAAAGCAATCGACATTTGGATGTGTACTTGTGTTGGATTCATCTTTGCATCTCTTCTTGAACTTGCTTTTGTTGCGTATCAAGACAAAAAGCTCATTCTAAAATCAGGAAAATCAAATGCAGCTATTAGTACATTGGTATCCTATCTGAAGCATTTTGAGCCATACCACGAAGTGGCTTCTCCACCACCACCACATCCGATTGATGAAAAGAAAATGATGAGTCGAACACCGTCAACTGTAACAAATCCATCAAAAAGTGAACTCGATGGATTGGATACAACAGATTTGGAAGAAGAAATTAACGAATACAGAAAGCTGGCATATGCAAGAAAGAAATTTAGATTGTTGGACTTTGGAGCAAACGTTGATAGGATATCGTTTATTGTTTTTCCGCTGGTAGGTTTTTTTGAAAATTAGATTCAAAATTAAGAAGTTCTAAACTTTTCAGTCATTTGCAATATTCAATGTAGTCTACTGGACTTATTATCTTCAAGATGTTCGAATTCCAACATGGAACTAAAACATACAGTACATGTTGGAAATAGACCAGGGTGTCTGAAAAAATGTTCAAGTTTTATCTGTTTTTTCCCACTTTTACTAAAAACATTAGTGTTCCAATACAAAATTGAAGCACCAGTTGTGTTTGGTAGATTTGAAAAATTTCAGACAATTGAGAACATTTTTTGACACCTGGCTGAAATTATTAAAGCTTATAACTTTCTGATATGTTGTGAACTGTGATTTATTTCGAATAATAAATACACCTGATTATCATTACAAATATGAACATATGCACAGCATTTTCCTCAATCTTAAAAGTCTTCCAGTTAGGAAAAGTGCTCTTTCCCCTGTACGTGTTTATCACTGTATTCCTGAACCAATGCATCAAAAAAAAGTTTTCAACCCGTGGGTGCAAAGTGCAATATTCAATCATTTCCTTCTAGTTTTATGACCCTCTTTTCATGGTTATCATTTATCAGACTATCAGTCACCTCAGAAGCTGTTTATCAAAGTTTGTATCTGTATCGTTCTTTGGTAGACGTGCAATTCACGTTTCTACATTTTTTCCGGGTTTCGAAATGAAAACTCCACCCTCGCAATTCGTTGAAACACAAACTACAAAATTGTAACCTGAATTTTAAAACGTCTTAATTAATGGCATCTTCAATTGGAATTTTTTTATACAGTACCGCTCAAAAGCGTATTTAGATATGGTTACCTGAAAGTAGCCTGCTCTGGGTGTCTGGGAAGTACCGTACACTCGGATGGAATGCCCCATAGACCATACTTTGAGTCTCATTCCCTCCGAGATATACTGGCTCAAAGTTAAAAGTTAGGGATGGTGTAATGTTAGAGTTTTTACTGTATATTCAATTTGGTCGGGTAGAAACGAAACTAAAAAACGAGCATAAATTATTTGTTTATAAGATTTTTAGTACAAGTTCATCCAGTCCAGAACCGCGACACTCAATATCTCATTCTGATGAATTTGTACAAAAAAAGGTGTCAACTACAAATATGAAGTTCTATTTTTGTTTCGTTCCTATCCGCTCTAATATATATTCCAGACACTGCTATCAGTTAAGAATATGTCATGTTAAAAATTTTACTTTTGAGCCACACTGTATATAAATGAATTACTTTGGAGTTTTTAAATACAGTGCGTTCAATATCTTTAGGACCCCCCTCTATTTTCACGGTTCTGAGAAAACGGTAAGAGATATCAAAAATCTGTAAGCGCCCTTCGTTTTTAAATTCAAAAATACCCAAAAAAACATAGGAGCCAAAATTTGGTGCTCATACCTCTTCTGGTATTAGTACACGGCCCAAAACTCACTTTTTCAGCCGTTCAATATCTTTAGAAACACCTGAGATTTTTGACGGAATTTTACTTTTTGTGTCAGAATTCCAATCCAAAAGTGGGTCAATGCCCGAAATTTTCATATGTGATCTTGGTTTTCGTATTACCAAAATGTTTCTGAACTGCTCTGAGAATTCTTACATTTTTCTGCTGCTCGTGACCTAATTTTCAATTCGATGAGCAAAATTGACCTAAATCATCATTCAAAAGCTGGAATCAACTACAAAAAAGAAGGTAAAATAAAGAAATCAATTGGATTTCTCATGGATAGTATTTAGAATCACTTTGGCCAACTCATTTGGTATGCTGGAAACTAGATCGTTCGGTTCGGTTTCAGTTAATGTTCTTCTTCCTTTTTGGAGGGAGTTTTGGGATCCCTGATGCGGTAGAACAGCCTGACGCTGTGGTAAACGCGACAGGCATCATGATCCGAAGCTGTATCAATAGAATTCAGATCAGAATCCATACCTGCCATGGCTATTTCTTGATTCTTCCGGCTGTCGCAACATACCAACAGAGTTGAATCATACCACTACTGAACAGAACTAGTGCTCGCCTTGTTGACGGCTCTGTTTGGTCTCTGGAATATCATAGATGGTCCTGCAGTTTATCACGACTTTAAAGACATTTTTTCATCCACCGAGACTTCGTGAATTCGCAGTTTAGCTTATCCGCAGCCGAAGCTCTATACACCTCCAGACAACGGTGCGATTTATAACAGAAACTCAACACTGGGATGAATGACAGCAGGAAGAATCAAGAAATAGCTATGGAAGGCATGGATTCTTATCTGAATTCTATTGATACAGCTTCGGATCATGATGCCTGTCGCGTTTACCACAGCGTTAGGCTGTTCTACCGCATCAGGGATCCCAAAATCCCTCTCCAAAAAGGAAGAAGAACATTAACTGAAACCGAACCGAACGATCTAGTTTCCAGCATACCAAATGAGTTGACCAAAGTGATTCTAAATACTATCCATGAGAAATCCAATTGATTTCTTTAGTTTACCTGCTTTTTTGTAGTTGCTTTTGAATGAGCTTTTGAATGATGATTTAGGCCAATTTTGCTCATCGAGTTGAAAATTAGGTCACGAGCAGCAGAAAAATGTAAAAATTCTCAGAGCAGTTCAGAAACATCTTGGTAATACGAAAACCAAGATCAAATATGAAAATTTCGGGCATTGACCCACTTTTGGATTGGAATTCTGACACAAAAAGTGAAATTCCGTCAAAAATCTCAGGTGGTCCTAAAGATATTGAACGGCAAAAAAAGTGAGTTTTGAGCCGTGTACTAATACCAGAAGAGGTATGAGCACCAAATTTTGGCTCCCGGGGTATTTTTGAATTTAAAAACGGATGGCGCTTACAGATTTTTGCTATCTCTTACCGTTTTTTCAGAACCGTGAAAATAGAGGGGGGTCCTAAAGATATTGAACGCACTGCATAGAGTTGGAAGGAATTTAACGAATCTTTGTTTAGAAATTCCTTGAGAAGACAAATATGAAAGAAAACTGATAGCTCGTTGGAACGGATTTGTACAAAAAAGAAGACAATGAACGGTTGATCGTTACCCTAGTGCTATGGTTATGTGCACATAAAAACCTGTAATAGAAATGTCCCCAACTTTACACTTTGAGCCAATTTATCTCGGTTATTGTCAAAGCTATGAAAAGTTGTAAACTGATAAATTATTTATCACAATATCAGAAGTGTTTTGCCAGTTGACGCATTTTTGATATCTTGCAGAGGAATCGAGATAATCGAGCTCAAATTTGACAAGGTGGTGGTATTCTACAATACGTTTTACGGTAGTATAATATGATCAGATCTGCATTGAGGGATTCTTCCTGTGATAAATTGAAAATGTCTTAGCCTACTAATTTCCACTCTTTTTTTATTGTCTTGTCTTCTATTTCGTCGTAATCCAAAACTCAAACACCTTGTCTTGTGTCATTTCCAACTCCTCCTCCTCTCTCTCTTTTCTCCTACTTCAAAAAACCTCCGTCTCCTGTTATCATCCTTTTTGCATATTGTCTGTATTTCAATCGTTGCCTTCTTCTTTAACACGCACACCTGAAATTGTTTCTTATCAGTTGGTAAAAAATATCGAAAAAAAGGAGCATCTGATCCTCTCCTGATCCTATCTAGATCTCAATGGCTGACACTATGATGCCATCTAATATTTACAATAGTGTTAGGTCGTTACCTTCTGCAATTCCACGTAAGGGATTATTAGAGAATTCAAAATTCCAAATGAATCGAGATGAAGGTTTCAGCATTATGGACGTTGAAGTCCATCCGGTTTCAAACTGCTCTTCTAATTTCATCGGCCTGTTTAGTTTTTGGATTGATGAGAACTTGTTTTGGAATGGCTATGGTTGATATTGTCAGAAGGTTTGCTTGAAATAGAATTTCCAATCATAAATCCAAATTTCCAGTGGGAATGAAACGTTTCATAGTGATCTACATATGGATTGGAACGGAGAAGAACAGGCTCGAATACACACTTCGTTTTATATCGGAGCATTTATTGCCGTTTTTCCGTCGGAATTTCTTGCCAAAAAGTGAGTTGTCAGCTGAGAAAAAAGAGTTATAACTGAAAGTAAAGAGTCAGGGAGAATTAGAAAAATGTGATTGTTCAGCTTTTTTTCGATTTGAGAGTGCTCACATGGTGTGAAATTCATTAGAAATATACACAGAAGCTGAACGGTTGGGGTCCACCAAGAAGCACTGCAAAATTTTCAGACTTGGTCCAAAACATCTCCTCTCATTTGCTCTTATTCTCAACATCATTGGATCAATCCTCACTCCATTCGTGGCAATTTATTTCAAAACCTACATTTTGATATTTGGAATCAGAATGATTATGGGGTTCGGATACGGTACCGTAGCCCCAATTTCTACAGTAACCCATTCCCTATTTAAGGTTTCATGATACCTGCTGGAAGTGTTCTTATATCAAAATGGTTTCCGATTTCGGAAAAGAGCACGGCTATGGCAATTTTCACAACAGGCAATCAGATTGGAATAGCAGTTTCCATGTTTTTAACAGCAAAACTTTGTCAACTTCCAATTTTCGAAGGATGGCCATTGGTTTTTATAGTTTATGGGTTGATTGGAGTGATTTTTCTGATTGTCTGGCATGTTCGATTGGCCGATAAACCAAGAGAATCGAGATATATAACAGCTACAGAGTTGACATATATTAAAGGAGGAAAACAAAAAAGAAGTCGAGCTGAAACGATAGTTAGACCTACTCCATATATGAAAGTGAGTTTTTGAAGAAACGGAAAATTCTTAATCGGAAAAGTTCAATGAAGTTTGAATAAAATCTACAAAATCGATTACAATTTCTTTGAAAACGGAAAAATCGAATTATTGCTTGTTTCTTTCTAGTTGAAGTGCCAAAAAACCTGTGATGGAAAAGCTCGACTAACTTTTAACTTTCAGCCAATTTATCTCGGTTACTGTGAATGATATCAAAAAGTAGTCAACTGAAAAAGTATTTTTGATTTTATGATGAACATTTTATCAGTTAACAACTTTTCGAAATCACTCACAGGAAATGAGATATACGGCTTGAAGTTGACGGTTTGGCGGCGTTCTATCAGAGTGCTTATTGTAGTTTACAAAAAAAAACAATAAGACGAGAACAATTAGAAGATATCTGAAAAATATAGGATTACTAATAAAAAAGGCATATTTTTTCTGCTGTCTATAACTTGTTTGTAAAAATATCTTTCAATCGAAATTCGCTAAAATTGAAACATAATTACTGTACATAAACATTCTAATAGAGTGCTACCCAAAATTTCAACTTTGAGTCTCTGTATCTCGGTTCTTGTGAAAGATATGAAAAAGTGATCAACTAACAAAATGTTAGTAATATTATGATGAACATTGTCAGTTGACCGCTTTTTGATATCTTTTACGGGAGCCGAGATATATGAGCTCAAAGTTGTAAATTTGGGTGGCACTCTGTAAGAGTGTTTGTGGAATTGAGTTTGACAATTAAGACATGTTTACATTTTTAAATTAAAATTTCAGTTTTTATTTTCCAATAGAAATTTTCAGATCATTCTAAACGGATGTGTCTGCGCAATTTGTGTCTGCTCATTCGCCCAAAGTTTTGTCCTGGTTGCCCTTGTGACCTATCTTCCAAAATATAATCAAATTGCTCTGAAGATGAATCTGACATATGTGAGTTGCACCCAATTGACATCCATCAATTCAAAAATTTGTTTCAGAATGGAATCTGGTCTTCTCTACCATTTTTCATTCAAATGATCACTAAACTTTTATTCGCCGTTATCGCAGATAAAGTGAAACAAGCTAAAGTAAATGCGACATTAGTTACAAAAGTGTCGAATTCAATTGGTTGGTGTTGATTTAAGATGACTAATTTTAATAATAAACTTTCAGCAAGTTTTGTGAGTGCTGCTTTCATAGTTTTGGCTGCTTTAACCCCGTTTGGAAGTGCTGAACTGGTTCAATTAAGCATAATAATCTCAATGGCAGCATTCTCAGCATATGTTCCAGGATACAACACTTCGATTGTTACAGTTGCACCACAGGTTTTTTTTCTTATTTCTTTGTGATCTTCTCGTCATTTAACATTTTCAGTTCACCGCATTCATTTCTTCATACGCTCAGCTGTACGCACAAATTGCATCAACACTGGCTCCAATTCTTATCGGAAGGATTACAAGTCATGTGAGTAGCGCAGACCGCCCGGGGCGTCAATGATATCTTTCAGGATACAATTGAAGAATGGAAGTTTGCATTTTATAGTTTGGCTGCCGTCCTAGCGGTGACGGGAATAGTTTTTCAAATATTTGGACATGGTAATTGTAGAAATCAGAGAAAAAAATGAAGGAATATTTTTAAACAGGAAGAACAGAACCATGGGGAGAAACGCCATCGAATGCAGCTTCAGCTCGCATCTCGACTTCGTTGGCTGTTTGTGAAGATGGACAGTGTAAATTGACACTTTTGGAAAAACATAATCATGATTTCCGAACAGAATCAAAAATGTCGTCGGATTCTGGAATCGCGAAAAAGAAGGCTAGTTTGTTGAAATTGATTCTGGTACAAAAAAAAGCGGAGCTGTGGAAGAGAAACGCCGGTGGTCCCAAAACGACAACTACCGTAACCTAAAATCATTTGTTTTCAGAGTTTTTGTTACTCGATTTTCGAACGTTTTCAGTCAATTTTTTACTAACGAAAAGGGAAAATAAATACAAATACTTTTCGGTTACTGTAGTTGTTGCATTTCTCTTCCACATCTCCGATTTTTTGTACCAATTATAATAATCAAGCGAAATTTGTTTTTAAAAAATCCTCAATCTGAATTGTCGGTTATTGTTTCGATTTTTGTAAATTTTCAGATTTCAAGAGTATCATACGCTGGTGAAGAAATTCTTATTCCGGGTCGGATTGAAGATCTCGAAAATGATGTCATTTATAGCATTGAAGAAGAACGAGAAGATTGAAATGCTCTCCATTTAACTTTAATTTATTTTCCATCCTACTAATGAATCCTTAGAAAATCACCTTTTTATGAATATTTCGTACTCTCCACGACGACTATATTTCTCCAATAATTTATCGAAAAAACCACCAAGCGTCAACAAGGAAAAAAAAAGAAATATTAGAAAGAGGTTGAAACAGTAGGAACAGTTTAGGGAAGGACACAAACTGTATGAACAGGAATAATTTTAGAAATCAGGGACTTTTGAAAAAGGCGGTAGACTCGGACTAATCTCGAGAGAAATGAGAGGGGAGGACGGAACATGCGAGGGAAAAGAAAAGAACAATTGGATAAGATTAATAATATGTCAAAAACAAAACCAGTCATCAGAAACAGCACTAATTTTTAATCGGCTCAACGGTTTGTCCTTTGCGAATAGTTCCCCATCCAATCAAACGCCAACTCTTCTCGAAACGACGGGACATTGCGATCTTCTCGCCAACCTATAATCTTGTACGTTAAAAAAATAAACTCTCAAACTTTTATGATTTACCTCTGTACAAATCGGGTCATTTAATCTGATCTTTGCAGCATCTCCCTTCACAGCGGTAACTCTGCCTCCGGTCGATAGAGATCCAATGTTAACAAGCAAGGTCTCTTCTTTCACTAATTTTTGAACCTTGGCTCCTTTCTTCTTTCCTTCGGTACGAACTCCAAGCAATCTTCTCAGAAGGTAGAATGAAATTTCGATCTCAATGAAAATGTCTGGAAGAGTTCCAACGGCTCCTAAAATGTGTCCTACAAGACGATCTCCACGGCAAAGTGTTGGATCGATTTTTGTTCCGACTCCGATAAGTCCTCCTGGAACGGCGTACTCGAGCTGATTTTTCTCGGCGAAAAGTGAATCGATGCGAGAGAAGATTGGTCGGCACTGGAGTTGCCCAGTTGCTGTTTTTGAAACGATTCCTGGACGAACTTCAATTTCTTGTCCAACTCGAAGGATACCCTTGGTTAACGTTCCTCCGGCAACACCTCCCTTCAGATTTTCAACTTCAGATCCTGGCTTGTTGACGTCGAAGGATCGGATAATGATCAAACGAGCAGGGGATTTGAAGTCACGAACAGGTACTGGGATTTTCTTGCAGAGGTATTCACAGACAAGCTGAAAAGATTCAGCCCGTTCGAAAATGATATTCATAGCTAGTACTCACATCGACGTTATACTTGAGCTGAGCAGAAATTGGAATAACAGGAGCGTTCTCCGCGACAGTTCCTTGAACAAATCCAGCAATTTGTTCGTAGTTCTCACGAGCCTGTGATTCCTTGATTATGTCGACCTTGTTTTGAAGAATCATGAGATGTTTCAGTTGCATAATCTCCACAGCAGCGAGATGCTCTGAAGTTTGTGGCTGAGGGCACTGCTCGTTACCGGCGACAAGTAGGAATGCAGCGTCCATGACAGCGGCTCCGTTCAACATGGTGGCCATAAGAATGTCGTGACCAGGGCAGTCGACGAAGGATACATGACGAACGCAGACGAACTCTCCCCCGCAGTTTGGTCGCTCACAGGGGATCCGATCTGGGGTAGATGAACCAGCAGATCTATAAGAACAGAATATGAATGTTTCTGAAAAGATTATGTTTACCTGTAGCAGCCAGGTCTTGGGCATTCGGCGTTGGAGCATCTGTAGATTTTTGCGTTGGCGTATCCGAGCTTGATAGTGATGTTACGTTCCAACTCTCTCTTGAACTTGACAGTGTGCACACCAGAGAAAGCTTTAACCAATGTAGATTTTCCATGGGCTACGTGCCCAATAGTTCCGATGTTGATGGTTGCTTGACGGGAGATAACCTACAAACACAATAATGAAAAGCTTATTAAAAATTCGACGATTGTTCCTACCTCATCAGTAAGTGGATTCAAATTATCTACGCCGATCTTGTCCAAATCTTGCTTGGCAAGCCAACTTTGGCATTCGTCCTTCTCAACTTCTGTAAATACGATTTACGAAACCGATCATAACTTTTATAACACCTACCAGCAGCCATAATTTTGATGAGCTACTTTATGTAAAGCGCCAGATGCTGAAATAGTAATTTTGTTTAACTTTTAAAAGTAGTTTAAAAAAGATAAACCGAAAGAAAAAATGGATAAATAAAAATTTATGTTGAAATGGTTAAAGACGCATGCAATTTGAGAGGCGCTTAGGAGGAGGTCTCGTCGCGAACCTGTGTCGATTTACGGGTCTGTGTGTTTCTTTGCAAATTTGCGCAAAGAAAAATGAGTCTCTTTTTGGTTTGCAACGGCTTGAAAAGGTTTTTCCAGTCAGGCTACAAAAAGTAAAAATGGAATACACAACTTCCGAAATACCAGAACTAGGAAGTGTATATAACAGTAACAAAACAGATTCGTATAGGTATGTACAAAAACTAAAATTGGAGTTATACAATGAAGAAAAAAGGTAAAACAAACAATGGTTTCAGTGAAAACATGGACCGATTATTCGCCGAAGATGAAATGAAGAATTCTCCGTTCTCTCCGAAAACCTCCACAACCTCATCTCCAGCCAAAAGTACCACCTATTTTAGTGCTGCTGCATTTTGGAAAAACGACACAGAATCCGTGAAAGTCGGAGTTATTCTTAGTGAGCTGGAGAACGCTGAAGAGTTGAATTTTCTGATGTTCGATGCCAGCAAAAGAATACTAAGAAAACTTTGTGTTGATGACGCAGAGTTTCAATTATCAGAAGATTCGTTAGCAGTAAGGGTGGAAACTCCACCAGAAGTCAGTGTTAATGTGAAGTTTGTGGATCGTCTGACGTTTATGAATTTTTCAACCACAGTATGTTAATTTAGTGAACATTGAAACAGATAATTTACAATTCCAGGTCATTCTGAGAAGCAAGAAACATATGTTCTTGAAGTTATCTGACGGTTCGGGAGATTCTCAAATTGAAAATGGCTGTGATATTCGCTACAATTTAACAAAACATAGTTTCGACGAGAAAGGACATCTGAAGCTTCCAGATGAACGTAAAGGTGTGAAGGCAAGATTGACAAAAGAAAAACTGATGGATCATGTTGTCTACAAATGGATGTCTGGACTTCGGAAAGGATGTCATTTCCTCATCAAGGATACCTTGTCTTCTGTATTTGAGGTGATTACAAACAGCAGAAATTTTTCCAAATTTTAAATTGCTCAAGTGCTCAGGTTCTTGTGGACAAAATCAGGAAATCTACAGACGTTATTGATGAAGAGAAGTCAGTACATGAATCGAAAGAAGCATCCGTAGAGATTGAACTGAAAGCGGATACCGAAATTTCCGAGAGCAGTCAAGATGTGACAACAAAGGATCAATTGATAAATCCGCCAATATCCGATGAGTCTTTGATTGCCTCCGATGTTACAATAGTTCCCACATCATCTCCTGCTCCGGAGCATGATCCTCAATTGGTGCCAGTTACAAACTCCACATCACAAAACTTCGTTCCACCCCTTCCGGTTACAGACGATATTCGTGACGTACTTCACCGAATTGTTGGAATTGAACTTGATCGAATCGAGATGAGACTCAACAATAAGTTTGAGAAGCTCCAAAATGATATAATGGCTCGTCTTGACCATCAAGCTGTTCTCATACAAAAAATTCTAGAAAAATCCTTAGCTGAGTAACATTTTCATGTTTATATGTTCCCAAATTGCACTCATTTCTCGGGTTTTAATTTTGTTTGCAACTGTGATGTATTCAATCTGTGTTCGTGACCTATAAAATTTTACTTTAATTTTTCACGCAATTCGTATGCAAACTTTATTTATTCGACATAACTAGCAATTATATAAAACAAGCACATCATTCACCGAAATTCCCCAAATTGAGCTCTTATGCGGAAGCAGTGGCAGCCTCCAATTGCGCTTTCGCCTCAACCAACTCTGCAGATTCGTCGGAGAAGTTTCCAGATGAGACGAAGGACTGAAGATCGGCAACAGCCTTCTGAAGACGTCCATGAGCATCGCGGACCATTGTGACTGTCTCCTGAAAAAATACAAACATTTTGAAAACTTGAACAAAAAACTTACTCTGGCAACTTCCTTTGCCTTTTTGGCAGCATACTCCTCGTCTTCGTTAGTAGCGTCTGCTGCCATTTTATCGGCTTTCTCCTCATCCTTGACCACTTGCTTCTGATAAGAAGCGTGCTCCTTAATCAAACGCTTAACAACTCCAGCCTTGATTTTGAGCTGTTTAAGTTGGTCGGCATCAGACATGATGAAAGTTCTACAAAATGAAGCAGTTTTGATTGGAAGAGGTAAACAATCGAAGAAGTTTAAAATAAGGAGAAAATGAAGAAAATAGTAGAGCTAACATTGAAAAGTGTACATATGAATGGAGACGAGACATGTGCAACGAGCCGAAAAAGAAAGAAGGAACGAGAAAGGAGAGAGCAGATGGTCGAGGTCATTATATCCGCCCCTCTATTTCGAAATACGACTGTCCTTCGAAAAACGAAGACCAGTTTCCCGCCAAAAATAATCTGATCATTCAAATACAAAATTTCGCAATCTACAATTAATGAGAACGTTCTCATGATCCTGCTATATAAAATATATCAAAAGACTGAAAAACGAGAAAAGTACGGGTTAAAGTCTATAACTTATAGAGAGAAGCACAGAAGAAGTTATGAAATAGTCCATGTATTTTTGATAAGGTATTCAGTGGAAGCGAACTGAGCTGCAAGGAAACAAGAAGGATACATATATTTCAAAACTGTATTTTATGACAAAATGAAAACAAATAACAATCTAAAAATCTAAAAAATCTAGAAAATTCAACAAGGACAAAAAACAAGGAAAGAAAAATTATCATTGCAACCTGGTCAATTTGCAAATATACATCGGTCCAAAATTAGAAGGAAGAAACGGTACTACCAATGCACCCAGGGGTGTATCATGGAAGCGATAAAGTCCAGATGCCGTCATATGAGAAACGAGTTGATGGAGTGATTCTTCGACTATTTCGATTCCAAAATCGTTTTTAACGACGGCAACCGCATTTTCAACCACAGCTTCGTTCTGACTTGGGGATAATGTACATGTCGAGTAGACAACAGAACCACCTACTTTTACTGATCGAATGGCGTTTCTGTAATGTTATCTGTATGCTTCTCAAAATTGACTGGTCATTCCGCTGTTCATTTGACTCTTGAAAGTTTACTTACACAAGGATTTTTGTCTGTAGCAACGGTAGATCGAGCCTTTGTTGTGTTGATGACGTACTGAATATATTCCCATCATCTGTGTTGACAGAGAGACGGTCCGTCGAACAGGGAACATCAGCAAGGACTTTATCGTAAGCCTCGAATTCGTCCCACGACTTTACATCGGACGCATCTTTCCGTTTTAGCACAAATTTATCAACCGCCTGAATTCCCTTGTTGACTATGATAGAAATCAACTTCCGAACTCACTTCACTTTCCTCTGGAACATAGGTCATTAATGCGCGTTTCAGCTGTCCAAGCCGTGCCAGTTTGAAATCGTTGCACACAATTTTCGAAGGAAGATTAGAAAGAGCAGCAAGAAGACTTTTGCCTCCAGGTGCTGCACACATATCGAGCAACGAATCATCTTTTTGAAGACCAAGGGCAAGAACAGGTAGAAGAGAACCACCGTCCAAAAGCCAATAACTTGGAACGCCAACTTGATCTTTCATTGGTGCAGGAAAATCCAGAAGAACTCCTCTCTTGAATGCTCTAACTCGAAGGTCTCTAGAATTTCGAAAAGAATTATGTGGTGTTCCTAAAAAAATTGTTACTTCGGATAGTATAAGAAATGCTCTCGTTTTGGAATTCGGACGCCTTCTCCTTCAAAACCAGTGATCTCTACATCTTTGTTATTTTTGATTCCTCCTCGACTCATCTGAAGAGATCCAGAAGATAATTCTCCTGGACTTGCTCGGAATTCAGACAAGCCAGCTGCCGATCGGAAAATTGCTTCTTGTTCTTCGTCGAGAGAAAAATTTCTTTCAGACGACGTCGAAGGATTCTGCAAGCAACATAAGCACTGTATGATCTTTTCGTCAATTCTACCAACCGCGATCTCGTTTTTAACTTTTTTCGTTTCTTCATCAGCCTTCATTTCTACTAGTTGCCGTTTGGCCTCAATTATATCGTCTTCAGTCTTTCCTCGAATACTCGCTAATAGATCTTTCGCTCCCATGTCTGCTAGAATCTCATCATGCGGTTCCCAATCTCTGATATTTCAAAATATAGATCTTCCACGGCAGAAGAAAAAAATCTAACCTGCTCATCGTGTTCATCACAGCTAAATATCTATTCGGAGATAAAAGTCCGAGTCGGATGCTCGGCCATTTTTTCCCAAACAAAGGCCCATAGTAGAAATCAAAATGGTCCAGTGCCAGAGCAGAAGGCGTTTTCAATGGTTTTGTCTTTGCAATCTGAAAATTTTAATGGATAAGTATTTATAAAAGTTCTTCAAAAATGTCTTACCTTGGGTTTGAATTTCACAGTTTTACATCGAAATTGTGTTAAATAAATAAACTTATTATATCGGAAGAAGCTCATCTGAAACCTGATGAGTTGAGACAAAAAATCTGACTGCTTGATAAGTTATAGAGAAGAATGGATACGCAAACCATACAAATTTCGCTACTTATAGACGAACAATTGAAAAGCAGGCTTTATTGTACATGCAATATGAAAAATTTATGTGTTCCAAAGAAGTTTATACATACGAACAACACCATCTCTGCAGCAAGTGTAAACACTCCGTTTGTGAATGGCTATGTCGTAAATGGGATCACAATCAGCACCGGTAAGTTCGTACTCCGCAGAAATTATGTTTTCAGACTCATCAGTTGACTCTCCAGATTTCTGAGGAAGCGATGGAATGGGGTATGCGAAAACACCTCCATCATCTGCAACCAACATTTTAATTCATAACTTTCTTATTACTCTTGTCCGAAATCAATGCACGTTGCGGCCGAGAAAACAACGGTGGGCGGAGCTTAGCTCCCACAGAGAGAACCTTACTGTATTTTTCAAATTATTGCACGCGCCTTTAATACAGTACCTCAACATTTATCGAATTTTTGCCTTTTTCTCTCATTTTTTCGCTTGTTTCTGTCTAATTTTGTCTAATTCTTATAAATCTTCAATTTATTTTTCTTATAAAAAGAAAAAACAGCCAAATAGGGCCCAAAATAAAAAACGTCCGAGGTACGGTATTTAAAGGCTCATGCATCAATTTGTTTTTTTCGCTGTGCGACCGACGATGCGATTTTGAGTAAATTTTCGGCCGCAACGTGCATTGATTTCGGACGAGAGTAATATATTGTTTACTCACTGAAAGCGACCAAGAGGCGATTACAGAAGTACTTCAGGCACTTAACACTGCTTTTCTGAGTCTTTATCTGACCAATAAGATGTTGTTGAGCAACGTTATATGCTCCCACACTACCGTCTTCGAAGCCAACAAACACGATTTCGCCAGCTTCATCATTTGAAAAACAGAGAGCCGATGGTTCAGATGGTAGTTTGATGTCACGACGAACCTGAACAAAACATGTGTTCTTCAGCATTCACCTAGTTGTCCTCACTTGGTCTCCGTGCAGATCTATGACTGATAGGAAATTACTCTCGCAAATAACTGCAAACCGTGAGCAATCAACGGAAACTGATAAATCAGCGCATCTTCCTTTTCCGAAGTTCCAAGTTTTTACTGTTTTTGAATCTCGACACTCCCACATTCGTGCTGTTCCATCGTTGGAACAAGAGAGTACTTCACGACCAACGCCGATTATCCCAAGACCAGTGACTGCTTGTGTATGTCCTTTCAGAGTCGCAGCACACTTTCCGCTGTCAACTCCCCAAATTTTGACTGTCATGTCCATTCCGCCGCTCAGAACAACAAGACCAGATGGAAAGTACATGCAGCGATAGACATCCATTATATGACCTTCGAGAACTCTCTGAAAATTAATATCTCGATGATAACTGAAAAATTTGTAGCTTATCAGTGCTTCAGCTCTAATGGCGCTTGCGATAACAAGATTTCCACTCGAATCGGCTGTGACATATGTGCTTCCTGTCGAGGAAACATCAAAAGATCGCGGTGCTGATTTCAGTCCTTCAATGGTTTGCTCACTGACAGGTGCCACGAAAATGGTCGTTTTTCCTTGGAATGTAACATGCAGATTTTTCTTGAATGGGATACACATTGTTTAGTTTGCCAGTGTGCTTGGTTTATATTAGACTTACAAGCTCGTCCAGTAAAATTTTCGTAAAAGCGGAAGACTTGATTGTTCCTTCTCCAGGCATTACCGCAAACCCATATTCGTCAACCAATTTTGTGACTTGGACGTCGAAGAATTCGGACTTCGCAGCGCCAGATCGTTTAATTCCAAGCCAGAACAGTGAAATAGGTTCTCTGAAAAATGCATGTTGAGTAAAGTTAATTTTTTACTCCAACCTGAGAGCAAGATGCCAATCACATTGAATCGTTAGAGTTTCATCGATGTTAACGGTTGGTTGTGTGTCATTGTCAACCTCCATTTGTTTTTAACTGAAAAACCCATATATATATATATAACATTAGAATGTATGAAAATTATAAAATTTCCGGTACTGGAAAGCTTCCGAAACTTTAAAAAAACCATGAAAAGAAACAAAAGAGACAACTACAGTAATCTTCTCCATCGTGTCGCTAACGAAAAAGTGGCATATGATGCTTATACTGTAACTTTCGTTTCGAAACCATGTGCGCCTATAAATATTTGTCATGTTTTCGGATTTTGGATGTTCACTACCACATTTTTATGAAGCCTCACTTTTTCTAGTCCTTAAAATATCAATTTCAATTTTGATATCCATGTTTTCTCTAATCAAATTCATTGACTTTCTATTCTCTAGAAAAATGCTCTATCTAAATACCCGAATCTGTTGAGCTCGATTTTATTTTCATATTATAGTTTTGTTCAGATTTTTCTATAGTTGCCAACTTCAAATCGTTAAGTCCTCTTCATTTAGACTCTCTCTCAAAAATCTTGAAAAAAGAGACCCCGCAAATTCCGGAGAAAAAACTTCCGGGGAAAAAAAAACTCCGGAGAAAAGTGGGCGGAGTCAGGGGCGGAGCATAAATTGCAACCCTGGCACGG